GCAGAGGCTCAGGGAGAGCGAAAAACGGGATGACCGGAAGTTTGAGGGGCCTCCGGAACCAGGGGAGGCCATTTTCGCCTCCAGAGCCCAGGAGGATAAAACGATTCCCCCTACACCGTGGTGCAGGAGGCCGACTAGGCCACACCCACCCAGCCCACCCCTGCTGTCATATCATGTTTTTTCTTAAAGCTGACAGATCTCTCTCTCTCTCTCTCTCTCTCTCCCTCCCTCCCTCCCTCTCTCAAGAGCCAAACGTGGGCATGCCCGGGGCACCTGTTTGATCTTAACTTCAGCAGTGAGAGAGCGCCAATGTGACTTCAGGCAATTGGGGACAGCCAGAACACAGTGTCCTTCCCGCCTTAGCTTCTTCATTCACCTTGACCTCAAAGAACATACCTTTGCAGTTTGCGAAAGTGTTTTATGTAATCCGGGACAGGACAGCCAGCTCTCTGGATAATGGAGGCTATGCTAAAAGAGAACAAAACAGGGGATGAAAGGCAGGAGGAGAATAGTGAGAACAAACCTACAGCTGACGATTCCTACCTAACTGCCTAAAATTTGAGGATCAAACGCTCATCTGCGCCCTTGCAAATACAGAGGTTATGGAGAGACAATCTGGGCCCAAACATGCCTTAATAGCTTCTCAAATACTGCATCCCATTCCAAAAACCATTCCTCCATGGACATGCTAAAACCCAGGAGACTGTGAGTTCTAGTCCGGCCTTAGGCATGAAGGTCAAATGCATGACTTTCGACCAATCATCAGGAGACCGTGAGTTCTAGTCTGGCTTTAGGCCTGACTTTGGGCCTGACTTTAGGTGACTTTGGGCCAGCCTGTTCTGACCCAGGCTTCCCCAGCAGCCCAAAGCTGAGTCCCCGTCCCAATAAACCCTTTTATTTAATTGACAGTGAATTCCTCTCCAGCAAAGTCTTTCCTCTCCCACAGTCTTTCAAGATAGTTCGCAATTACCGATCTTTATCAGGCTTGGAGAGTGGCCAGGCCCATATCTTTCAGACGCCCACAATAATGAATTAATTGTCTCCTGCAAACTCCACTCCCCTTTCACTCCTCTTTTATCCACTATGGGAGGGGCAATTCAACGTCAAGCTGTGGCTTTACTCCCAAGTCGACCCTTGTTCCTTAGCTCCTCCCTTTGTCTCGCAACTCTGCACATGAGCACACTGGGAACAAGCTCCAGCTGTTTGTCTGCCTCAATGATGTCTGACTCTGAAAGCAGCTGATAACTGTCAGACTGCCCTGGCCCCATCTCTGCCTCCTGATGCAAAGCCCCCATCAGAGCTTTCCCCAGAGACTCCAGGACTGGCCCATCTTCCTCCCCAACCTCCTCCCTGTCTGAATCTGCTGCCAGCTCTACAACACAGCCCACTTTACAGGGTTGTTCTTGTTACGGGGAAAATAGGGGAAGGAAGGAGCATTGTGTGTGTTTGCTGCCTTGAGTTATTTATAAAAAAATAACAAAGGCAGGGAACAAATAAAGAAGGGGGAACTAACCCCCAGATTCTTTCTACACATAAGCCAAGGTATGCAACTCACAGCCAGAGGGTCAAGGGCCTAGTGCCATTTTGCCAGCAGACCAGGAGGGTGGAGGAGGAAATATCACCAAGCCAGCCCATGACTCATTCTTGAAGCCTTGACTTGCTCAACAATGGTCAAGCTCACGAACAAGATAAACAAAGCCCTGAGTGGAAGAGGTACCTTCGCAGTAATGGCTTGTCATCTTCAGTAAAGAAGGTAATCGCCTTTCCTGTATGCCCTGCCCGTCCTGTGCGACCTGTTGCAAGAGAGAACAGTATTTAGCCTCGGTAACAATAAAGGGGGAACTCCTGAAGAGAGAAGCAGGGAGGTTGCAAAGACATGTTACATCTATTCAAGTTACTGTATTTTTCGGCGTATAAGATGCACCTATTTCCCTCAAAAAAAAAGGGTGAAAATCTGGGTGCGTCTTATACACTGAATACAGCATTTTTGGCCTCTTAAAACCTTTGCAAAAATGGCCGTGCATAGCCTTTAGGAAGCTTCCAAAGTGCTCCTGGGGGTTGGGGAGGGCAAAAATGAGTGAGAAAAAATTATTTGCTCGTTTTTGCCTCCACCTCCCAGTAGCACTCTACAAGCCTCCTACGGTAATCAGACATCTGGAAACCAGCCCTAGTCAACGAGCCCCACCCATCACCCAGGCCGTTACAACACAAAACAACAACAGACACACAGCCAGCACCAATCAGCACCAATCTACCAATCATGATACAATCACACAGCCAATCAATTCACTTACTGAAACAA